TAATTTGAATAAAATTAAATATTTAAATATATATCTTAATAAGTTAATAATTTTGAAGTATAATTGAAAAAAGAAAACATTTAATACGTCCCAACCTGATCTAAGAAGTGTATTATAAATTTGTAAATATTCATACAGAGAGCAATAAAAAGAATTTTATGAATATTAGAAGCATTCTGTGCATACCTTTGGCTGTAAAATACCATCTACAGATTTTTCAATGTTAGTTTCAAACACATGAGCTTTTGTCAACTTCTTGTCCCAATGAGCAGCTAACCAAATTCGGGCCAATGGCCCCTTTTTGGCCAACACGAAATGTGCGTAAAACATTATGAATACGCGTTACGTGCACTTCTGTAAAGAGAATAAGGCATATAAGTAAATTGCGCGAAAAGTGCGCAGCACACTGTTTGTAAACACAAATCTAAACATAAGGGTGAATGGAACGGTTTGTTAACACGATTTCCCGTTAGCAACATGATTATCACCTTATAACGAAAAACTGGATGACGTGTCAATTAGTGGATAACATTAGCATTTTTTAACATTCGTAAATACACAAATCGAGTCGTGGGACTCGAATAAAGCGGTAATTATAGAATCTTTTCCAATTTAGTAAAATGTCAACATCTTTGCATAAGATGGCGTTTCCATCTATGATTTTGGCGGTTACGCGTAAGCTTATTGAACACGTAGAAAGTTTTATTTCTTTCGCTGTGAAATAATCCACAACAGTGTCACATGGATGAAGTTTATGTCGTTAGTTTCATATTTTATGAAAAAAATCACGTTTGTAATATTTTTAAGTCGTCAACACATACGATAACGTTTCTTTTGACCGCGTCTTCGGAACCATCTACAACTAGTTTCACTGAACGTTCTAAAACTCCCTCCATTGGAAGCGGGCAGTTGTATTCATAAATCTACAAAACTATACCTTTCTAATTTAACGAGCACTTGCGTACATGCTTTCCATTTTCTATTTATAGGATATTGTTTATAAACATCAGTGTTTTAAAAATCAAATAATATAAAGTATCAAGTAGTCAAAAATGGAAATAATTTGTATATGTCACTAGTCCAATGGCATTGAAATCATGAATGCAGTTTACTTGCAACGTCACTTTGTGTGTTCATCGCCAGAGGGCTAGAAAAATCAAAATATTCACAAACGGTCAAAATATGTATTTAAGCACTTATTACAATTCATCGTCTCTTCTAAAATTGTTAGCCAAAATGAATGCCATCTTACAGCATAATACTTTCATTTTTCGGGTTTCGTTTAAATTTTGTAATCACGATGCAAATTAAATGAACGCATATCAAGAAAATTAATGAATTACCGCGCCCAAACGAGCGCTCAAAACAGACCATTAAATATCATGGTATGAGAAGGAATTCACATTTTGTTCAATGATATTCAACTAATTAAAGTGGTAACAGGATGTACTTAAGGATTTTGAATATTTTGTTCGTAATGACGCATACTATACTAATAAACAGAGTGCGTTTTTGTCGTATTACCAAAAGGAATTTAAAGCTTTTTTGCATGTTATGATATTCAACGGCTTACTCGTGGTGCTAATCTTAAGTTACGACAAAGTGGGTAATTAATTCGTTTTTTAGGCACGCATTCACCTATTTTGTTTTATAGCCTGAGTTTGCTAACGCAAAATGATATTTAAACAGAATTTTGTACATTATTTTATATGTTAGCTACTTATTCAGTTTGTTATATATACTAAATAATAATTTATCTATTAGAAAGAAATTGTATAAAAATATATATATATATATATATTGTACATATATACAAATTAGAGGTGCCTAACTTACTCCCCTCACGCTAGTAACTGGAAAACAGCATTCCCCCACTACCTTTATTCAAAGAGCTGCTCGAGACCGTGTATGCGACAGTTCTATGAGTGTCACAATATAAACAGGAAAAAGTAGGTATGGAGAGAGTAACTTTCTGTGAGGGGGATGTTACTAGAGTGCCTTCAGGCACCGATTTAAACACCCTTGGGTTAAAGCATATCTATAGTGTGTATAATAAATTTTTAATTTATTACAATTTTAAATGGAAAACACTATTCCATTTTAATAGAAACACCATTTTCAGTATTGAATGTTATTATGAATGCAAAGCAAAGAGAGTCTCATTTTAATTTCGTTTAATGAGATTTTAAATTACAGTGAACCATTTGGTATGTACTGTTTAAAAGCATATTTGATATAATTATACTTAACTATTTTATTCAGATTAAATTGTAAATTTAAATATAATATAACGTATGAATTAAATTTTATAATTATTGTAATAATAATTGCGCGTAAAAAAGTGATTAAGTTAATATGCAGATTTAAGATAACATTTGTCCTTAATAAATTATTTATACAGTACTGTATTTTGCTTTCCTTTTTGAAGGACAAACTAATGTTTTTAATGTTTTTAACGGATATACAATATCTTTACTATATTCAAATGGATAAATTTATAATATTTTGCCGTTTATATTAACACTTACAAACTTAAATGTTGTATAAACGAATCATGGTTATGAATATTTCGTTTTGAAATCATTAAAAGAAAGCGCATCTTATATGTGCATGTTTTCATTAATTATAAACTGGTTCACGTACGTCGCTGTCTGTCACACAATTATTTGCGTCATCTCGAGATATTTGTAGATGAGATTTTTATAAGTGTTTTTGATGCAGTTTTAATTTTGTTCTATTGTGTTTCACATAAATTAAGGTGAGAATAGTGACAAATGAGTGACAAGAAACAACGAGAATGGCGATGTAAATTGTCTTTTGCAGTGTAACGAAAAATATATGGAATCGTTCTTTCGGCACAGATTTTCTTGATACGTGTAAATAACATCCATTTACTACATTGGAAAACATTAAAAAAAGTAATGCAAATATATTCCAGATATCTGTTACGGTTTTGTCGTTCTTATTTTGAAAGTTTTTTGTTAAGTAGTAACGCATATGAAAAAAACATAGATTTTATCTTGAAGTCTTTGAAAATTGAAATTAAAAATAGTTGTTTTTATTTGTAAATTGAACAAATTTTTGGAGAAATCTTCGTTAAAAGATACATTTTATATCTTTTTCTACTTAATGAGAAATACAAATTTTTAACGTGTAATATTTGCAATTATAATTTATACATATATATGGTTAACAGATATAAAGAATAATAGACATTTGTTTCTATATGTTACTGAAAGTTTAAAGTGATATTAATGTTGTTGTAGGATTCATCTTAAATTATAGAGATGACTCTTATTGAGGGTGTCGGAGATGAAGTCACAGATTTTTTTATTGTTATGGTTGTACTATTGATAGGCTGGCTTGCCTGGTGTTCTACAAGTATTATAGATCAACCATTAGTACGCACAGTATTCATTTTACAACATGGAACACGCACACGCATTGCTGAGCTTCGATCAAATCATCAAAGTGTAACCTCTTTTAATCGTCCACCAAATTTGGAAATATCAGAAGAAGAATCTGCAGAACCAATTACAGATGATAACAGTGACAATGCACAAAGTTGCCCTGAACCATCTGTTGCAGGTGATATGCTATACTTAAAGAAAAATTTTAATTATTTAAATATAATTTCTTTGAATATACAATTGCGTAAATTTGTCGTTAATACCTTTATCATTAGAACAACTTTTGCATAATGTTAAACATCTCAAATATGTGAACTATTTTGGTTTTTTATTAAGAGCATGATAGAATTATTATAATTAATAATTAATTGTTGTAATAGATACAAATGGAGAAGTTTCTCCAGAAACACATACAACATCTGAGGCAACTACTACGGAAGAAGTACTTATTGAAGCTATGGACTCTTTTAATGATGATAGTACAACATTATTACAAAGACAAACTAAAGTAAACACAACAGAAGAAACGAATGTACCAACATCAACAGGTTCTGATACTGTACAATGTTCAGCTGAAAATCTTTCAACGAATAATGCAAATGAAATTAGCATAAAACTCATATTTATAAATGATGATCAAAAAGTAGTTACCGGTAGTCTCAAAGAACTGCTTGGGGACTTCAAAAGGTTTCTACTATTAAAACTTTCTGCACATTCTATAAACTTTGAAATACAAAATCGGTATATAAGTATAATGAAACTTTATACTTTTACAGGAGGCATTTTCAAATAGAACTTGAAGCACAGAAATTGGTGCGGTTAATTTTTAAAGGTCGAGTATTGCAGCCTGACAGTCAAACATTGGAACGATGTGGATTGTATAACAATTGTGTTGTTCACTGTCTAGTGCACCAACCTCGACCTAGCCCTGTACAACCTCAAACATCAACTTTGAATAATTCATCGTCTATGTATTTTAATCCTCAGTACGTAATTAGTTCAGTACGCAACGAGTGGAATTTGAGTAGACTGTTAGTGAGCATTTTAACACTTATGTTATGTTTAGCTTGGTATTCTAGATATCACTATGCTCAACTTTTCACTGCAACTACTACGATTGCATTATATGCGCTTACTGTAATTTTCACAGGCTCATTGTTAGGTAATTATTTTCCTGATTATGACAATATCAGAAATATTGAATAAATTTGAATTAGGTATCTCGAAAAGCACTTTCAAACACGATTTTGTAACATC